GAAAAGCAAGTGTGTAATGTTCAGGATGAAATCTTAAGTCAAACCGAGTTAGTTTTGGTTCTCAAAGCATTTTGATTGGATAGTTAATATTGTTCTAAAATTACTATTGGCTGGTTAAGTTCCATTTACATCATCATAATTATGTAAGAATCATATGACATAGATTTTTCTCAAAATTACGCAGATCAGAGAGGGGTTACTATTTTTAGAACAGAGTAGGGAAATTAATTTACGCTGCTAATTTAATCTTTTACATATTCCCTATTTTTCTTACACATATATATATATATAAATACAGTCAAAAGTCGTTAATTCGGACACCCATAATCCGGAATGATCTATAATCCAGACCTCAAAGCTAAAATCTTTCTGCGCAAGACCTTTACGTCTGCGCAAGCGCAGAATACGTTTTCGCATGTGCGTTTAATGTATAACGGAAGGTATAAGCTAAAATTATCTATTTCAGTTAATGTTGATGATTGCGTTGTTCCTTAATCTTTAAATTGGATCCGGCTTATTATTTTTTGCAGACTGTAAGAGCAATTTTATAAAAGTAAGCTTGAACTTTCGATTATGTCAAATAGAATTTCCGATGCTGGAGCTCCCAAAGGATCTACAAAACGAAAGTATGTTTCGATGTCCTCAAAAAAACGTGGAATTGCTACAAAAAATGAATAAAGGCATATCCTTTGTTTATCTAACCGTTCCAAAGTCTGTTTATCAATTTCACGCTGCTCTGCGTGGGGGGGGGGGGAACGTTGCGGCACGCAATGAACTGGAAGTTGATCTGTCAGCACTATCGTTATCTTCAGGGCAGATGTTTTTATTTTATTCGGCTTATAATTCCTTGCTAAATATAGTATTTCCTCGTCTTTGATTTGATTTAAATCAAATTCCTCATCATTATAAATATCACTAATACACATCAAATAGTTTTCTGGTTGCAATTTTCTAATTTCGACTATGCGTAATGTATGCTTTACGCATGCGCGGGTTGAAAGAAATGTTTAATAAAGTAAACAAATAAATATTAACTTCTTTTTTTGTAAATTTTTATACCCTTTAGATCATAATTGCATCATAATTGGTCATTATTTTATAAATTACGGTTTCATATTTTTAATTTTATAATTTCTGCATGCCATCTTACCAGATTTAAACTGATGATCTATAATCCGGAATCGCCCGGATTAAAGACTTTTAACTGTATTATAAAATCTGAAATACTTGTATTCCATGCATCTTGTAGGTAATATTTAAACACTTAATCATTATTAATATACTAGGGAAAAATTTCACAATCTTACATTAAAATCTTTTGAATCTTAAAAGATAACTAAATATATAATGACTTACGTACTAAAAATATACATAAATAATCATAATTACATTTTTGTTAATTTCTATAACCTGAAAATATTTATCAGTAAAATTCTATGTGTACTTAGACAAATAATGTAAAATTTAATCTATTAACTTTTCTTAAAAATTTATATTCATTTCTAGCCCTGGTCTGTACAAAAATTCATGCAACAGAATTTCCTCTAATTTTTTTTTTTTTTTTTTTTTTAAGTTGAAAAAATATTTTTTATCAGTTGTTATAAAGAGTGGCCTTCCAGTATTCACAGGTAATATATTATGAGATCTTGTGTGGATAATAGAGAACACAATGCAAAACATAATTTTTATTTTAACACCCGTAATAAAGTTTGATTGATAAATTATGCAAAGAAAAGATCATCATTAAATATTGTCATAATATAACATATGCAATAAGACATTACATTTAAATTGCTTTCAATTCTGAAAAAGGTTTTCAACTTCATGGCAGCACCATTTCAAAAGAAATCCACATTGGTTTAAATTTGCTTCATAATGCTCAATTCAGGTTATTCAAGTATTTATAACATGATCCTAGTGTTAAATTTTGTTTCTTGGATAATTTCATATTGTATTTTTTTTTTTTTTTTTTACACCCTTCCACTAAAAACATTTTGTAGCAGGGAAAGAAAGCTTTAACTCATCAAAGTATTTTTAAACAGAATGAAGTGTGAGAATGAAATTTGTATAATTTAGGTTTCAATAATCCAATATATTTCATTTATTGCAGAAAAACTAAAAAGAGAAACCTGAGCCACTTTGTCGATCTGCGAAAAAAAAAAAAAAAAAAAAAAAAAAAAAAAAAAAAAAAAAAAAAAAAAACAAGAGTTGAGAGCTATGAATTTTATTTAGTCCTTCATCAAGGCTAAAAAACCTAGAAATATGGTGATCTACCAGGTGATGTCATGAGAAAACAGACAAGCTGGCAGCCCTGCACTAAGATCTACACTTAGAAAGTAATATAAAACACCATTATGATATTTCATCTGCTTATGCAGAAAAAGAATTCAAAACATTTTAGCCTCATCTACAAAAACAAGTGAGAAATCAAGAAATGCAGTTTTTACATTATATAGCATAAAATATTGCTTAAAAGGATGGTAGAAATAAGAATTAATCATTTTTCTAACATTAATAGCATATTAGTAGTTCGCATAAACTTGCAACAAAAATAATCTTAGGATCTGAGATTATTTTTGTTGCAAAAAGAACTTTAAACAAGAACAGAGTTGCCTGTATGTTAAACACTTTCTGTAGTACTGATAGACAAAATACCTACCACCACATTTTAGATCATCCAGCTAGGATGTGAACCCAGAGTTTCTGTAACCAGATTACACAAGGTGTTGCAGTGATTATTTCCAGTCACTGAACTTGGCTATATTGGCTCCAAATGATCGTGCAAATGTGTAACAAGACAGAATTTGGCCAATTTGAACTGAATATTGGTTACATTAAGGACTGTTGTCCCTTACATAATTTACAATAACTTATTTCAATCTTAACCTTTCTATACTGCAGATACCGAATCAGTAGATAAGGGTATATGACTGTACACAAATTTATCAAAGTCATGGCACAACTCATGTTCAGAAGATTACTTAACTACTGTACTGCAGCACTCTGTGTTAATAAACATTCATTTGAAGCAAGACAAACATCAGCACAGGTCATACATGTGAATGGAAAAATGACCCTAACTTTAATATATTTAAATGTGTATTTTTTCCAATATACATTTCACATGGGTATATGCAACACCTATGCAAAAACTAATTCAATGTGAAATAGTCTACCAATTTATCAGTACAATACAACACATGGTTATTACTGAAATTGAATTCTCTAATGTAATTGAGATGACTGATTTAGAAGCTATAAAATTTATAAATAAGTAACAAATTATTAGCACACTCAGCATATCATGGAAGTTAACTAACACTATACTATTACAATAAATATAAAAATTGCATAGTTTTCTGCTTACGTACTATTATAAAATAATGCAACACACACATTTAAAAAAAAAAAAAAGTTTTTGGCTGCTTGTTGAGGATACACTCATGTCCAAAATTATGTTTACATGCATAAATTCACGGATTTCTCAGAGACTATGACTTATAATTTAATGATTTTCGTGGAATCAACTGATGACAACCCCACCTAAAGGCCAAGAAAAAAAAAATAATTGCAGATCCTCATATGATATGAATTGTAGCATGAAACAATAAAATGGTAAAGTGTGACAAAGAGTTTAAGAAAGAAAGGAATGATTCAGAAAAAGAATTAAGTCTTACGAATTAATATCTATCCCATGACACACTGTCACAAAACGTTTTTAAGGCTGGAAAATAATGTTGGGAATTAATCTCCACTCTTCCAATGCCGTCTTCAGAGCATTTACATCTCTAGGAGGGATGTATACGTGCAATTGCTCTCCCAAGGTAGTCCCATAAGTTCTCTATCGGGTTAAGGTCAGGAGGGTTTGGTGGCCAAGGTATTCGCTTAATGTCTTCACTTTCAAGGAATTCATCATCACGAGGTTTGCTCGATGTGGACGGGCATTATCATCCATAAATAAAAAGTCAGGTCCATATGCACCCCTGAAAAGTCTTACATAGGATCTAAGACCCTCATCTCGATATATCTGGCCTGTCACAGATCCCGCTGCTGAACACGTGTAGGGCCGTACGTCCATCGATCATTATTCCACCCCATACCATCACACCTCCACTACCGAAACGGTCACGTTCCACAATGTTTCGAGGGATCATTTCGTGTTCCTGACTCCCTCCAGATGTAAACACGTTTAGAATCACCAGTTAAACTAAAACCGCGACTCATCAATAAGAGAACATGGGACCACTGATGTTCAGTCCAGTTTTGATGTTCTTTACACCAATTAAGCGATCCCTCTTTTTCTGTGAAGACAGTAAAAACACATACCCTTGGCTTTCTGGCATAAAGGCCTTTTTCATTAAGCCTCTGTATATTGTTTGCCGTGATGCAACAGTTCCATTGGCGGCTGCAAACTCTGGCGAGCGATCCTTTCTGTTACGACGGGCAGTTACCGATCTTCAGAAGCAGATCTTTGTCATTCGTTTCCGACTGTCCAGGCCTCCTACAACACTTCCATCCATTTTGAAACTGCTTCCATAGCTTAGAGACTGTCTGTCTTGAATATTCAGACATGTGGTTGTTTCCATGATTGACTGCCCTCTTCTAAACGGCCGAATTATTTGACTTTACCAGATTCTTCCAAATGATACTTCGACGCCATAACAAACCGCTTTGAGTCCCTACACACACTGAAATCAAACGCTATGTTGCAGAAATTCACTCAAATATTCAGTTTGCGCAAAGCGCTTGATTCACCCTTGGATTGACGTAACGCCTAGATTTGCATATCACAAACCGTTTGTTACTTTTGATTGGATAATGCTAATTAGGCTTGGTTTTCACACATTCCCTGCAAATACGGATCACATTGATTCGATATTTCATTGAATATCATCATTTTTGGGTATGTAAAGATAATTTTGGACATGAGTGTAGATCAAATGGTGTAGTTCAAAAATATAAATGCATTACCAGAAACATTAAACACAATAAAAACAGGATTAATTAACTGTAAGTAATATATTATTACATACTTCCCAGAAATGAGAAAACAGCACAAAAAATCTATGCCAGCAATAAAATAATTCACAAAAATGCTCAAATTCGTAAATAACTCCTGTATATTTAAAAACAAACTCCAAAGCATAAAATTATATAAAGCATGCAAAATTCAGTACATTTCATAATAATTTAGGAATGAAAAGTGCACAAATAAACTATACTTATTTATAACACAGACATTTCTTTAAAAGACAACCATTTTTATAACAGCTCAATGTTTATTTACAGATGACATTGGGCGAGAATGCATTGCTGATGTATTTGATAGCTTAAGACTCACAGCACTGGAACGTCCAGACGACTGAGATGATGTTCGACAAGATGTTTGCGAAGAGCTGCCCACTTGTGATGATCTAGATGATGCTCTAGAAAGCACACCTGATGATCGACGATCATAGTCACGAAGTAAATGGAAACGACTGAGATCACGCGAAGCTTTAGTTGACTCCAACCTCTTAAGTAAAGCCTAGAAAAAATTTTTAAATGATGATGACATTTCTAACATTTGTTGTAATTATCAAGTAACTGCAGCAAGCATGAAAAGAAATGAAAATTAAATTATCATCTCTAAGTAAAAATTTATTTAATCTGAAGTGGAATGAGCCAAACATGTCATATAAAAACAGCAGCTTCTTAATAAGCTGAGATGAAAAGTTTGGTTTGATGTATCTAATTATTGCAAAGTACTCAAGGGCTATCTGCCTAAGGGCAGGGATGCCTTTGTGGAGGGCTTTCTAAGGCAAACTGGCTTATATACAGGTCACACATGCAGAAAACCATGAAAATGTCCAAACCAGCTCGTTCATTGGGACTATTAGTATTCAGTGACTTGGCAGCTGCTAAGATGAAAAGAGTAGTTCAATTGTTCAATGAAAATGTAACACAATATTTCAGAACCATTTTTCAGAAGGAAATATTTCCAGCAAGCTTATTTTTACGATCATGACCACAACAGTCATAGATTTTATACATGTCATTTATGTTGTAAAAATCTTATAAAAAGAAAATTTAAAAAAAAAAAAAAAAAAAAAAAAAAAAAAAAAAAAAAAAGAGTACTAATCTTATATTTCCATGCAAAATTTTTTAAACATTTTTTGAATAATATGACACCAGAAATAATTTCTTTTGTCACTTAAAATAGCAGGGAAAGCTTTTTTCTGGAGATTAGAAGTTTTTTCCATCAACAGTTACATGTTGTAGAAGAAAGTCTTTAATGAAGAACTGGAAATTCTCCTGTGGGATTTAAGATTTTTCTAGAAAATTGATTGCTCAAATGAACTGGCTACTTTCCCAATGCACTGGAAGAATCAAGCTGCAGACCACTGATATTAGATAAAGAAGAAAGATAAACCGAAAATTACATATTATACAAATGAAACCATAGAAGTCAGAATAAGGCCTACACTATTCATTCTGACAGAAGAAAGGTCAAACAGCAGAATTTGGAATTTTTTGTGCAACATGTCAAAGAAAGCCAGGGTTACGTATTGGAGATTAATCTGAGATATATTATATCAAAAAAATGTATACGTACACCTGCATATCAAGACAGCCAAGAAGAGCACATAATAATCAAGGGTTAGAGTACAGAGAAGGGTACCCCTTGTATTATCACTAAGTTGTTGTTTCATTTATCGCCAAGTGGTGGTTTATTTATGGTAGCTTGAGTAGTTGAATGTTATGGAAACCCTATTATGACATAATCAGTTGTATGATTGCGGTGAATTTGCAAGGGCTTGTCATGCGTGTTGGTTAGGAAGAATATTGCTTGTTTACAGGTTTAGATGGTAAAATGGCTGAATGTGGTAAGATTAATTTGAAGTTTCTGTACGATTTGAAAGAAAGGGGAAAACAGCATTACTTGACTGGTATGTAAATGAAGGTTTACTTAGTAGCCATTATTAGGTGTCCTATTTTTAGGAAGGAAATGTGTATGGTCGAACGTGGTTACGGAGGATATTTTTTACTCTTATTTTGTGAATTTATGTGGTGACGCCAGTATACAGATTCTAGTTCAGATAATTTTAGGAAGTTTTTGGATGCTGTTAAGGAATTTTGTTTGACTGAAGACATGTTAATTCGTAAATCAGGTAAGTGGATATTTCCTTTGTGTAGTGCAATGATGAATTTGGTTATAGTAGAGAAAAGGGTACCCCTTGTATTATCGCAAAGTTGTTGTTTCATTTATGGTAGCCTGGGAAGTTGAATGCTAATAGAAACCCTATTAAGACATAATCAATTGCATGATTGTGGTAAATTTGTAAGGGCTTGTGGTGTGAGTGTGTTGGTTAGAAAGTATTGCTTGTTTTGTGGTTTAGATAGTAAAATGGCTGAAAGTGGTAAGATTAATTTGAAGTTTGTGTACGATTTGGAAAGAAAGAGGAAAAGAGCATTACTTGACTGATGTGTAAATGAAGGTTTACTTAGTAGCCATTATTAGGTGTCCTGTTTGTAGGAAGGAAATGTGTATGGTCAAACGTCGCTACAGAGGATATTTTTTACTCTTATTTTGCGAATTTATGTGGCAATGCCAGTATACAGGTTCAAGTTTAGATAATTTTAGGAAGTTTTTGGATGCTATTAAGGAATTTTGTTTGACTGAAGACGTGTTAATTCGTAAATCAGGTAAGTGGATAGTTCCTTTGTGTAGTGCAAAGATGAATTTCCTTTTTTATGTTATTTCATTGTTTGATTTAAAATGTAGTTTATTGAAATTATATATATTTTTTACTGGCTGCTCCTTTGACTTTTTAAGTGAATATAGTTCGATATGTACATAGACAAAGTCAAGGGAGTGCGCAATGCCAAATTTGTGCATTTCTGATATGTTTTTTTAAGTGAAAGTAGGTCGATGTGTACATGGATACTGAGCTTGTGCAATTCCTTGTTTTGTCATTTTAGCTTTGTGTAGCAGCGATTTTTGGCAGAATCACACAAACTCGGTATCCATGTACCGCCAAAAATCACCAAGTTTCACCAAGGTGTACCCGTAAATATACTTTTACCTAATCAAGTTATGTGAATTTAAATTTATGCATTTGTTAGGGAATAATTGACTGAGTGCACATGACACCAAATTAACTCCAACTAGTATAATTATCATGCTTGGCAGGAAGTAGAAATTAATTTTGATCACGTAACCTTTCACATAAAGAGATATCGCCTTTCCACATAAAGGTGCATATGCCAGTTCCTGCACTAGAGAAATAGCATCATTACCTCTTTGTTATACCTTGTGTAGTTATAATGGTTATAAGCAACACTCACCTTATTTCAGTTTATATCTTTCACTATGATAATTTTAAGTTTTTTTGGCTAGCATTTAGAATATTTGTCTATTATATAGTAGCTCTTGAAGAGAAACTAAAATTGGCACATATTTGGCCTAGGTGAAAAATGGATCACAAGTGATAATTGTTATACAAGAACAAAAATAACTGGTTCCTTCCAGCACATACGCTTTGGCAAAATTTTAAGTTAATCTGGTAGAAACAAGAAAAACCTATGCTAACATTCAAAGAGTAAAAAAAAAATCATAATGTGCAAGGGAAGAACTAACATTTATTTACCTTTATGAAGGCCATAATGCAGCTAATTCAATACTTGCTGGGGTACCATACCGTTAGAACGGCAAGAGTTAAAAAATGCGCTACATTATTTTTTTCCCTGCCAATTATTGCCAAGTATAAAATCATGAAATAATAACAGAGTTCAAAAGACTAAAAAAAAAATTAGTTCTATAAATAAGTAGTTTTTTTTTAATTTCATAATTCTTAAAGAAAGTAAATTTTTCTTTTTTAATTTTTTTAATCTAGAATATTCTATATATAAATAAGAAATGACAAACAAAAATCACAGTCTAAACAAGCGACATAAAATTACAAAAATCACTCAGTATTATAGAAAAAATTCAGTTTTTGAATATAACTGACGCCACATCAATTCTATCAAATATGACTCTAAATGGTTGCAAGCAGTACCCATTTAACCAAAAATGCCCAAATAACCAAAAATACACAAACAGAGAGGAAAAAATAACCAAAAATACATATTTCCTAACATAAAAACATTAAATAACAAATCTTTAAAAAAAAAAAAAAAAAATATATATATAGAGAGACGAATAAATAAATGAAACGACAAATTTTTAATATACCTTTTTTCATGTACATACATTTAGGTTTCCCACCACCATCTATTACATCCTCCAGGGAAGAAAATCAATTAAATTTTTCGCCATTTCGGCTCATCCGCTGTTAATCAACATTCATACTCTTACTCACCTCAGACATATTCAAATGATGGTTCCCACAGAAAAATAATAGCAAGTTCAAAATACAAGGCCATATCACACACATGCAACACAGCAGCTGAAAAGAATAGTAAGAGCCAAAAACCTGGGTCCATAACGAAAGGGTTACTATTACAAAACAGCACAACAATCTTCCAGATTTCACAAACAACCAATACCGCTTGGCGAATTTTTCAGACAAAAACCAAGGAGTACCATATAATAAAGATTAAGCAACATTTTCAAAGGAAACTTGGTGAAAATATATTTAAGGGTGCCCCTTGGCGATTGGACAGCAAGAACACAATTTTAAGAAGGCTGCTACACAAAACCAAAATAACAAGTCAAAGAACAGCATAAACTCAGTGTCCATGTACACATCAATCCATTTTCACTTAAAAATAAAAAATCAGAGAATTATTCACACATCCCATTGCATACTCCCTTGGCTTCTCCATATACACATCGATGTTATTTTCAATTTTAAAAAAATCAAAGGAATGATGACATCATGTAATGTTAAAGCAAAGCTACTCATCACCAAAACTGAACACGATTTGTAGCCAATCGAAGCTCAATAAACTGCATTTTAAATCACACAATGAAATAACATAAGAAAGGAAATACATGTTATCGGATATACGTATTACAAAAAGAAAAGGCTCTACTCTTATATGCGCCCAAAGATCACCAAATGCGGCGATATGTGTTCTGCGCTGGTTTTTTATGCGATTCCGTGTTGTGGGATGGTGTTTGTATGGCAACCCTTTTGACGTTGAAACTTAACTTTTTTGCTGCAGTGGTTTAATTGCTTGTTGGTTCGTGTCATGCGTGTTTTGAATGTTGCAATGAGAAACAGAGATGGCAAGATTTCTGTCGCGTATTTTAGATTGTGTGCAAAGTAAATTTAGTATTAAAAGGTACGATGTTGGAGTTGTTAACGAGTCTTTTTTCACAGGTGTGTTTATGTGGATAGAAGTGCATTTTTTGAATTTCTGTGGGAGTCAGGACTTTTAAAACGGAGTTTGGTGTGTTTGAAATAGCTGATATGAGAATTCGAACGAAGAATGGTGTTTCTGATAGACTTGTGTGGGTTTGCAGTCAAATGATTGCTGGTAAAGTATATGGCTGTCAGCGGAATTTAAGATTTGGATCGTGGTTTTCGTGTAGTAAGT